ATTGAACCTGCAACCTATATGTGTTGGGATGACACGCTAATCAATTGAGCTACTCAGCTACGGCAAGATTAAATCTTAATATAGAAAATTTGGGGTTTTATTTTCATTGAATTTTGACTATAGTATTTATGGGGAAATTATTTTTTAATTATCTATATATATAAAACCCTAATATACAAATATGCCGAATGGCAAAACAACTAAACAACTGAACAATTGAACAACTGGTCGCTATGACATGCGCTGACCACCAGGGGGCGCATGTGGAACATGGCGGGCGTTGACTGTAGTGGGATGGTGGAGCAGGTGAGTGGGAGTGCCAAACCAAAGCGGGGTGCTAGTCGCTGTAATTGGGGCAAGCCTCTGGTGGTTACTGAAAATTCTTTGCTCCCGTGCGCCATGGCACTGGCCCCACTTGCACCCGCTGCCAGTGCCGGAGCTGCCATTCGCACCCACTGCTGGCGCCTGGCGTCAGCCCTGATTGCTTGGTGCCGTCAGCAGGTGTGAGCAGTGGCTGCCAGCCCCGATCACCCCTCAGGGCTTCTCCACCTCCCCCTGCTCCTGAGCGGTGATTGGGGCCGGCAGCCACCTCTCGCACCCACTGCCAGTGTGAGCAGAGCTGGCACCCTCAGCACATGGGAGCGGTGGAAGCGGGAGCGGGGTTCCCGGCAGATGGGACCAGGGTTCCATGGTGGGAGGGGCCAGGAGGGGCCGCAGAGGATGGGCTGAGACCTGCCCCAGTGCCCACGGCAGCCTCTCAGCCCACAGTTCCTTGCAAGGTGCATGAATTCGTGCACTGGGCCCCTAGTTTGACATAAGATACATCAAAAATGGTGGAATTTTAGAGCTGTAAGTGGTTCTTATTGCCCGTGAACATCTCTGGAGAAGTTTTCAAAAATATGGATATCATCCTAGAGATTGTATCTCTGTAGGTCTGTGGTTTGGCCCAGAAATCTGGGATTCTGGCACAGCTGGTCTACCTACAGTTTGTAAACACTGGTTTAGAATTCACTTTGTGGGATTCCAAAAAGATGGTATTTGTCAGAAAGAGACGGGTATTTTTTTCTGGATCCAAGCTACCTCTTGCTTTTTACTTCAACACTTTTGGGCCTTACATTAACGACAAATATCATACACTCTGAGTGCACAAAAGCACCCTCATCTGGCTATTGTTAAAAATCATCACAGCTCCTGCAGGTGGTTTTTATGTACAACCAAAGGGTAGGTAGGTAGTGATTGTACCAGGAGAATTTAATTAAATTTTCTTCTCTAACCCCCCCCCCCCCCCCCCCAACAAAGTAGTCAACCCACTCTAGATTAAACAGACCTGGTTTCGCTAATTGAAGACGTGTGAGTCATTCAGGGTTTCCAAGAACCTTGATATTTCAATAACTGTTCCCTCTCAGGGTTCTCCAAAGGACACCTTGCAGAGAATGAATAGCTGAGCCTCCTGGGTAAGTGAGGGTTAGTCGAAGCTGACACCATCTCGTTGTCATTCCTTCACATCTTTGCACCTGTCACAGAACTGCTCCTCGAAATGCTTCTTAAAGAATAAAAGAATCAAGTCACAGTTTCCTCTTGTTGCTATTGTATATTATGAATGTCTGCCTTTTTAGACTATACCAAATAGAATATAATTTCTTTTTATGATGGCTTAGGCCATCACGCTGAGCCCTAGTGCCCTCAGGGGTCTCTTGTAGTACGTAGAATGTTTTTATTCCGCACTAAATGATCCTAAGCTGCTGTGATTTTTATTTCTTTTGTTTGCTTTCTATAGTTATTTCCCCCCTGTTTCCATTCTTGCTGTTAAACCATCAGCTGTCACTCGTTACTGTTATTGATGTGCCTCTTTTAGTTCTCTTCTTTTTTTTTTTTAAATCCTCACCCAAAGATATGCTTAAAGAGAAGAAGGGAGAGAGAGAGAGGAAGAGAGAGGGAGGGGGAAAACATCGATGTAAGAGGGAGAAACATGATCGACCTGACCAGGGATTGACTCGACCAGGATTGAACCCACAACCTAAGTATGTACCCCGACTGGGAATTAAACCTGCACCTTATAGGACAAGCTCCATCCAACTGAGCCACTGAGCCATCCGGCCAGGGCTAGTTCTCTTCTTTTAATTTGCTGCTCTTATTGGGCAGCTCATTCGGAAACCATATCACCACGCCTGCTGCCGAGTTTCTGAAGAGGAAGACTGGGCCCTGAGTAAGGACCCCACAAAACCTGTTTCGGTAAAGTTCTCTAATGACGGTGGTCTCTGTGGTGTGGAGATGTTGGCTGCTCAGAGGTCTCTTTTGTTTGTTTATTGACTCTCAGCTGTTTTCCAATAAAGCTAGTGCCACGTAAACAAAGGAACACTGTGTCTTTAAAGAGAAGCGGCTCGCTTCTTCTGCGTTCCAGTTTCTTGTGCTTCTTGGCAATTGGAGATGGTCAGCAGGCATTTTTGTCTCCATGCTCCTCCGTTCAGAGGGGAATTAGCCTGAAGTGACGGGGAACCTGACAAAGCAGTTCAGGGCTAATTTGGAGTCCTAACTAAGGCAGAGATCCAGTCTCCCTAGGGCCCAGGAGGCGGAAAGGATTGGCCCCCTCTATGTGGAAGCCTCTGTGAAGGCTGGGAAGGAGGGCGAGGATTTTTAACCCTACGGGGAAAGCAAGGTGGGCATTTCACTCTCATTTGACAGATGAAGGATGTAAACATTGACTGTAAACTGAGACTCAACTTAAAACTTTTGCTAGCATTAGATTTCACTCATCTTCTAATTGCCTTATCTCATGGGCGTTCTCAGCCCTCCTGTGTGTCGGCATTCAAGACTGGTGAGCATGTCTGCTGGAAACTTCCCCTTTCCTGGGTTTTACAGAAAACAAACAAACAAACAAAAAAACCACACCAAACCAAAAAACTGCCTCTCTGGAGTCTCCTCCTACCTCTCAAGCCTCTCTGCAGTCTCAAGGCAAACCTTCCCCATCCTGTCATCTGAATGTGGGTCCCAGAGCTCCATCCGTAGCCTTATTCCATCCTTTCTCCTTACATTTTCCCCTGTGATCGCATCCTAAGCAAGGCCCTGCTTGATTTCATTTGCTTTTAAAAACAACGACCACACAGAACAAAACCACTGCAGCAGTTACCTAAACAGGTGGAGTTCCTGAGAGACTGGCAGACATGACTTCCTCAGGCCCTCCTGCACTTCCCCACTTCCATCCTCCATGTTCATAGGCTCCCACAGTGACTCCGTCTACTTGGGCTCCAGACCGTGGCTCCCTCTCTGTGTCTGGCCCCTCAGATTTGGACACTGGAGTTTGATTTGTTTGCTCAAACTTGACCTTTGACTTTCCCTTGGCCCCATGTCCTACTGTACTGTAGACATGGCTACCTGAATGCCCTATAGTTATGGCAAGCTCAACATCTCCAGAACTGCTAATCTACCATTCCCAGCCAGTAACTTCAGAGTCATCTTTTCACCCCATCAATTCAAACTACTTGTGTTAATTGTTCCTTCTGAATATACTACTTGTCTGTCTCATGCGAGCTATATCTGTATTTCTCTATATTGCTGCATAAAACATTACCCAAATTTAGTAGCTTAAGACAACACATTTATTATCTCATGTCTTACATGGGTTTCATCTCTTGCTTCTTCCCTCCTAACACCAAATACTGTGTTTCAGCAAGCGAAGGTGTATTTCCCTGTGCACATAGTGTACTTTTTAAATTCCTCTAAACCAGCGGTTCTCAACCTGTGGGTCGCGACCCCTTTGGGGGTCAAAAGACCCTTTCACAGGGGTCGCCTAAGACCATCGGAAAACACATATATAATTACATATTGTTTTTGTGGTTCATCACTATGCTTTAATTATGTTCAATTTGTAACAATGAAATTGGGGGTCACCACAACATGAGGAACTTTATTAAAGGGTCGCGGCATTAGGGAGGTTGAGAACCACTGCAACCTTTGAATTGGCTGTTCCTCCCCTTTCTTGCCATTCCATGCTGTAACATGCACAATGACAGTCTGACTAATAGAGTGCCACTCATCTTCCACATCTTATCTTCTCAGTGATGTTTCACAGACTCACTGCTTTTTTTCTGGCTCCAGCTGCACTTCCTACACAGCTCCACTGGTCCTGTCCTCTTGGGAGCCGAAGGAGTGACATGCGTCAAAGCATATCTGTGATCTGTGGGAGAGACCCCAGAGAAATATGGTGGCATTGAGGCTAAGAAACCCCCTGGGGGAAAAGTCAAGCACTGTCCTCTCTGAATATTCAGGCAGGTCTGATGACGTCTGCCCAACCAGTGGGATGGCCAGCTCAGGGCCTTTCTAAGGATGTCCAGGAGCCTTTTAGGAGGCTTGGATTTATCTATCTCCTGTCCAAACTCACACTGGTCTCAGTCTGATAGGTCCACGTCCTGTGGGTGTGTAAGGAAAGACTACAAATGCCACTTCACTAAAATCTGTAAAATTTCAGTAGGATCAGCAACACGGTAAAACAGACAGGAGAGGATTGTACCCTCCTATTCTGCCACAGACGGTAGGGTGGACGAAGGAGAAGGGGTGAGGGTAATAGAGGTCTGAGCAGCCTCTGCGATGAAGCACATGGATAGTGCAAAGGGGAATTTTAGTTTCACAGCCATTCTCATTTAGAATGGTAATCAGGTTTGTCTCTTCACTGACAGACACTGAATTCCCACTGCTTGGCATACCTAAAATTTAATAAATCCTGGAACGAACGAATGAATGAAGGAATGAACCTGTCACCATATGAAACTGAGTTCTTTTCACTTTTAGGAGCAGCATAAGGGTTGAACTTTGAAAACACATTGACCGTGGGTATTTGGTCTTGGGTAAAAGCCTTTGGGAGGTCTATTGGGTCGTTCACAGTAAAATTTAAAAATTGTCATCCAAAAGTATGTATCCATGGGTTCCTGATAGGAAATAATAATTTACGCCTGGTTCACAGACGCTTATCCAATGAAGACTTCCTTTTCTCTTATTTCCTACAGAGTGCACATCAGGCCACTGGAGGTTAGAAGAGTGGACAGTGTGGTGAGTAGTTTCAAAGTGGTTCTAGGTGATTTGAAAACTACTGGCACAGATAATCTCCAGGGCCCTCTTTCTGCTTCCTATGTCCCAGCAGCTGCATCAAATTGATCCAATTTGACCATGAAACTTAAAAAGTCCAGCCTCTTCTGTTCCTACCCAGAGGGGGGAAAACAAAAAGGAAAAAAGATTCTTCTTATGGACCCAAAGCTTGGCAAGGTTATAGATGTGCACAGGGGCTCAGGACTGGGTGCATGGAGATGTTGTTTAACAGAAATGTACATGATTAAATGGCTGGTTCCAGTGTAATTCCACTTGCCTCATTTTTTTTTTTCTGTAGAAACAATTAGAAAATTCAAATGCTGTATTCGTAAATTGCATTTGGGACTTAATGGTGGTATTTGCTCCCCAACTGTAATGCCTCTGTGAGTTGCCCTCTAATTCCCATTTATTTTTCCTTTAAGCTCGAGCCTAATTCACATGTGGATCAGAATAAAAGCATTTCTGCAACCTTTTAACTGTTAAGTTTGCCATCCATAGAGGTCTTGGGGTTCTGGCAGAATGTCACTCTTTTGACTGCTAATGTTCAAAAAGGAGCTCTCAGGAACTGTGGCAACATGGCTAACATTTGAATGTAGCCGTTCTTTTAAAAATATATGTATTTCATTGACAGTCATCTTGCTGTTGATTTAGGCTACTTATTTATTTTTTTGATCTTGAATGAAATCTTCCAGTGGTTGTCTTGAAACAAATGATTAAATTTCAGATGGGTGTTTGTATTAAAACAGCATTATTTTCTAAATTATGTGAATTAGATACAAAGGCACAGGGAAATTTATTTACAAAACATAAGATACAGTTAGGGATTTGAATGTAGAATTATTTGTCTCTGATCCTCTTCTATAGTCAATAAATATACTTTGTTAGCCAAGTTATTTTAAACTCTCTACTTGAGTTTAAAATCTTTTAAGAGATATTATTTTTATTTTTTAAATTTATTTTTGCCATATTTCTTTGTCAGAGGAATTGAGTTGTTGTGGGTGTTTATGAGATACCTGAATTCATTTCAGGAATAGGTTCTTACAGTAGCGCTCACCTAGAATTGGTCCATGTGAACTTGGGTTGGCCGAATCCTTTTGGCCTAAACAGGGGAACTTTCCAGAATTTAGGTCTGGCCAGGATAAACATCATGTGAAATGACTAAGAGAAACTAGCAGGTAATGCCTACATGATTAAGACTAACACTTGTCAATTATATATCTACAAAGGAAGACTCCAGTTGAATAATTGTTGAGAATTCACAATATGTCAGGTACTGAGCATATAGGTTACTCTCTTCCTTCAGAAATCCAAAATATGCTGAGATTTGCATTTATTTGGGTTAATTTCATGTGGCATGTGAATGTAACCCGTTCCCTGTACATTAGTGAAAAGAATGATCCTTGGAATTAAACAAACAGGGATTCAAATCCTGACTTGGCTATTTATTATGAGTTATCTTTGTTAAGTCATTTAATCAACATGAGTCTCTTTTTCCTCATTTGAATACTATAATGAGGGGAATCAATACCTTCCTGGTTGTTGTAAGGGTTAGAGATAATGTGTATCAAGTACCTTGTATAGGGCTTGACCTGTACAGAAACTTAACTAATTATATTATATAAATATGCTTCAAGTGGGGTCTCCCCATTTTAAATAGGTTGAGAACACAGATCTGTATTCTTTGTGATAGCATCAGAGCCATTGTTCCCATCATACACCTCAATGAAAAACTTCAGTCAGTGTTCTTATAAAAACAGCCGCCCCAGCAAGCCAGGCCAGTCCTCCTTAGATGATCCTCCACACCTTGCTCCTCGAGGTGCCAAACATGAATTTATATGTTTTCTCTGGGAACCTGTGCTCTGTGTAACCAGAAGTTTGTGCGCACCAGCCTTGCTACTCGGCTGTGCCCTGGGAAGGGAGGCCGGCCGAATCTCACCAAAGGCACCGGCTTTCAGATCCCCGGGAGAGAGGTGTGTGATAGCCACACCTCATACACAGCAGGACTCGCTGCAAGCCCAGGCCTGCCCGTGCTTGTTCTGCACCTTCCCTTGGGAAAGATGGCCACAGCCCCTGGAGCCCGGGTGTCTTTCTTGGGAAGGAGCAGAGGACGTTTCCCCAATCCTTTCTGTCAACACAGTGGGGGTTATCTGAATTTCACTTGGGTTTTAACTGCTGTGTGAGTTGGGTTTCTCTCTGTTAGTGGAGCTGCTGTGACTGGATTAAAACCACAGTTGTTGGGAAGCACTTACGGCCCCATGGGGGATTTCTCCATCAAAGAGCGGGGTCAGAGTTCTGTTTTTCCTCTTTTCTAGTAACCCCACTCACCAGCGATTCCTGCTTTTTGAGGTAACTATATCACTTAGCTGGAGACCAAGGCGAAGCAGCATGTCTTTCTTATTACCTAGGTGCCAGACTAGCCAGCTGGGACATTATCCAAAGTTTTATTTGGCTCTTGGCTAGAGGACTGGAACCACAGCCTATTCGGGGGCACATAACTTAGTCGGGGAGAATTTCACGAGCAGGAAACTCCAGGTAGAGCCACACCTTCTGTGTGTGGTAAAAGGCCATCCTATGAATGTGAACTCAATCCTGGCTTCTCCTGTGGCGTAGTCACTGTAGATTTTATCTTTTTATACAGTCCCTGGTGGCCTTGGCATGTCCCGGAGGGGTAGCCTCCTTTAGGTGAAAGCTGGAGGCCACCGCTGTAGCTGGGGGAAGGGGCAGGCTGGCATCCAGGGGCCCATGGGCTGAAGACACCGAAAGCCTGGGTTCTAACCCCAGACCTTGTCTGCCGGTGCTCAGCCAACAGATCTATCTGGTAAAGAAAAATGCATTCGGATGCCTTGAAAGTTTAGCATCTGCTTCTCCTTGGCTCCTGCTGCTTTAGAAAAACATTGGGAAGTTTCTATTGGATTTGGATGAGACAGAGATGGCATATTTTCCGCATCTCCGGAAGCCCACACATCCCATTTGGAGCTTCATTTACATGCACATCGAATACAGGCTGACTGCCTCGGACTGCACCTTTGAGCAGATCTGATGGGATCCCCACATGCATGTAAATGAGGCTCCCTTAGCCGGAGCCTCGCTCCAGAGAGGCCAAGAGCAGGCTTTTCTTGAAACTTGTTACCGAGACGATCTCAAACCAGACACCACAATAAGGTATTTCTTTTTCCTTGCTCATGTGTGTGCCAGGAGGACACCACGTAACTTGGTTTTCCAGGCTGAGGTAATTTATTTAAACGTGGATTTATTTGAAAAATGGGAAGGGATACAGGGCTTGATTTTAATCCTTCTAACAGAGAAAAAAGAATGCTTGTGTCACAACTCAGTGAGTGTAAAAATTAAAAAATGCCGAGACTATTGTTTGAAAACAGGCAAAATAATTAAAATTATTATGGAATAATCACATATCACACAACAACCTCCCACTCTTACGAGCAACAATCCAAAACAGCTCCTCCAAAGCGGGCCCAAGGGCAGAGGTTCTGTATATCATTCAAAGACCATCTGTCGTGCAATTCCTGTAGCGCCTTTGCACTGTTCGGAGGGCAGGCTGAATGTGGTCCTGGCAGTTCTCTTTCCATTTGCTAACAAACAGCAGTGATGGCAGATAAATATGGCAAACAATAGGCGTTTGTAATGAACTGGAAAGGGATGGGGATTTTTGGAACCAGCACCAAAATCGGAAGTTTTGTGTCCTGTGTTGGACTCCCTAGACCCCCAGGGCCAGTTCGTGCCATGTGGCAGCTCAGGCAGACATCTGCAGGCTGAGCGAGGCTTCATGTGCTCAGCCAACCTGCTAAAAGCCTGGTTTAACTAAAGTTCTTTTTTCTTAAAAAATTAATAATCACAAACATTCAAAGTTAGGATTTGTTTGTTTGTTTTTGCTTCAGGAAAGTAAAATATTGCAAATAGCCCCGAGAGTTTACAATCTTTACTTGTATTTGGAGGCCACACCTTGCCCCCCATAACTCCCCTCACTCGTGTGTTCTTGTATCCTGTCTCATTTTGTGGTTTTGTAGAGCCTGTTAGAGCATGATCTTGATGCTTATGCTTGACGTGGTGTTTATTTTCATTGTTTTAGAAGTATGCATTTGAGATTTGGTTGTCTGATGTTGAATCAGGGAGGCCAAGATAGTATCGTATCAATTTTCAATAATTATAGTTTTAATTCACAAATTAGTGATACCCGAGGATCTCTTGATTAAAGCTGCTGTTTTGAATGTTCATAGCAAAAATTCTGACCCAGATCCTCTTTTAAAATTGTGTTTTGGTCACTTTTCTGTGAACTGTATCTATGTATATACAGGCTCATGGACTCATAGACCCAGCTCTACCTACCTTATCCTAATCCTATTTCTATTTTCTTTCCTCTCTCTCTCTCTCTCTCTCTCTCTCTCTCTCTCTCTCTCTCTCTCTCTCTCTCACACACACACACACACACACACACACACACACACATTCATAGACAGAAATCATTAGTCATAAGTGTCTGTAAGACTTCACAGATCACAGAATGAGTAGAACTGTGTTATTTGCAATAGGCACATAGCTGAATCTTTAGTAATTTAAAATCTGAGTGGGAGCAATAAAAGGTTGGGTCCAGCTCATCTTGTAAAATTAGTACTTCGTACTAAGGAGGACACTTGTCTGCATAGATAAGGAGCCCACGTGGGCTTTAAATAGCAAGGCCAGCCATCCTGACATGTTATGTGGACTCTAGAGAGGGGTGGCATTGTGTAGCTCGTAGTTCAGGCCATTAACAGGAGCTGCAGTAGGGTGGGTGTGGAGAAGTTCAAGGCAAATTCCAGTCCTCCATTACTGAAATTATTAAAAAGCAAGGGGCTGAATGGGTGTTCTTCCTGTACCACCTTTGTCACCAACATGTCTGCCCGAGTGGTGTGCTCAGGTCCAGTGCTGAAGCCCCAATG